TAGGAGATAACCCAGAAGAGAACCACACAACGGAGTAGCGATAGAAATTGCTGAAAAGTAGACGTTGAGACGCAATGAACGTGAACCAATGAACATTCTCAATTGCTTCACGAACAACTTACAGCACGGCTGACATGCTCGAAAACGCTTTTGCCGAGAACAATTCAGCAAACATATTTTTCGGTACAGAATTGCAAACACTGTTGAATCACTGCTATGTTTACAGCGCGCGAATAGGTTTATATATAGTTGGCCCCAGGGAAGTTCGCGAACGTAGCATCGCATTGCAGCCAATTTGCTGCGCTTATAATATTTGTTGTGTATCTACACAAGGAACCTAACGATTGGCTAGGAAGCTGAGAATATCATGTAGATAAGCGGCAATCCCAATTGATTGAGCGATCATTTGAAATTCACACATTTTATCGAATTTGTTTGTGCCAATTCAAAAGATAGAAAAAATAGCTGCGATGAATGAACTTCCAGCGTGCTTCCATCAGCAAATATCGCTTCTTTCAGGATAAAGGTTCCAAACAGACACCGTCCCTGCAAACAACCGGTAGTATTGCACTGCTATTGTATGCCGTGCGAGGACCACTGGTTCGCTGTGGCAAATACGCTTACGGCGATATTCGTGTCTCTATCCGATCCCCTCGTGATCGGCTGGTGCAGCTGCAAAAGTACCACCTTTCAAGAAATTCCATCACAGTTTTACTATGACGACTGATCTCAAAAAGCGTAGCCAGATTTTTTTAAACCTCAAGGTGACGCGTAACCTCCATGAACCGCTCGCCATAGAACGTCTATGATCAGTATTTTGGCTGCGATTGGCCAATCTTTATGGATGGAGGAGATGTGAATGAAAAGTGTACACGCTTGCTCAGTTTTGGACATTTGTTATGTTTGAGAGATGATCAATGCCGTAACGGTATACTACAGCTCTAGAGGTGTTCTGCCGTTAGGCCACCGATTTTCCAGCTTGTGCGGACAACTACGACAAACCATGCATATCCACGCAGACATATTGGTTGTCCGCGCAGGTAAAAATTATCGACGATCTGACTTCTCCTGCTTTTTAGAGCCTTCGGTATGGCCTAAATCCCAGAGGCCAGTAGCTCTGCATGACAGCACAACCATGTACGAGCTCATGGATCTGTCGGCTGGATCACAATTCATGAACGTTTAAGCAGTTGATATCAAATGAACTACTTCAAAGAAGGAAAAAGTATATGATGAGTACGTAGCCTAACAATTATAAGTTTGATATGTTCTCATTGTCAGTAAATAACCACTACAAAGTCGGCCCTATGAGCCCTACAACCTTCGCGATTCGTCAGCCTCACTTCAGAAGAATTGCTTATTGCTCTAAACGAGGGAACGATCCCAACTTAAGGTGGCGAACTGGAATAACCGCATGTCATTAGACGCGTTTTGATGAGTTGATTCCAAATCAACCTTCCATATCTGCGATGCGCATTTTTGGAAGAAGTTGTGAGCGATTAAATGTATGAAGTCATTGGGGTTTTAATGCATTTTGAAAACCAATTACCGAGTGCATGACTGGCATAATATTGAGCGTACCCTACATTTCACTGGAGTTGACGGCTGGAGGGCGGGGCTCCGGTCGACAAGAGAGCACGTACGCGAGGGGGATGCAGAGCCTGCTTTTCCACGCTTGCGTGCTCTTTGATTGATCGAAGCCCCGCCTTGCAGCCGCCAACTCCCGTGAAAGAGGATGTCGTGGAATGCTCACATTTACTAGAAACACAAACAAGTGTCTTGAACAACCAATTTTTTAGGGTGTGGCGCTGAATGTTTGCCATGAGGCAAGGCCCATAACTTCTTCCAGAGAACCGCATCGCTGATTGGAAGGTAGATTTGGAATCAGCTCATCAAGACGCTTTCAACGATATGCGACTCATTCCAGTTCGCCACCTGAAGTTGGGATCGTTTCCTTGTATAAAGTTGTTTATATGATAGAAAGCAAATATAGACGAGGACGTTATATTGAAAGATTAGAAGCGATCATAAAAGTGTACACATTCTGGGCTCCTTCTAGCCAATGTTGAAACATTTCACATAGCAGAACAGAAGCGGCAAATGAAATGATCGATTCGGGTGCAAAACAACCACAGCCACATTCACATCGATTGATCATGACAGGTGAACTGACAGCGTTGACAAGAATGCGTGGTGATTTGTGGGGTTCAGGACGGCGAAAAGTTGTAGGGGACGAAACAAATAATATGAAAAATAAAATGAGACGCTAGCGATGTGCTACTGATTGATCGTCATACTAGGGCTAGAAATCGACATCGGAGATCACTATTTAATGAAGCTTGAAAATTTTCATAAAAATTGCGCTGGATATGATTTATTCTGTTGATAATTTCGTTTTTGTTTCTGGCACACCTATTGAGTGTATTGTAAAATAAAACAAAATAAAATAAAATAATTGTAAGAAACTCGAAAACACTTTGCACATGTTGTCAAAACAAGCTTAATCGTGAAGCTTACAAATTTGACAAGCTTACAACATCTCACAAGATGATTGATATGTGGAAACAGTAGAGGAAAGTCGCGAGCTCACTTTAAATCATCGGGACTTAACCACATTTGATTCCATAAGGAGCAATCACTTCCATACTACTGTAATATAACCATTATACATTGACATCAAAACTAAATAAGAGCACCATTGAGCGCAGTGACGAAATTCTATTTCAAATTCATGCAGTGATCCAGGATCCCTAAAAATTAGAAAAAAGAACTGCCAGATGAGCGCGAAGATTCTCGCCACTTATCACATCAACAACAAAAAATTGGCGCCTCTGACGTTTCTAAGACAAGATCAAGGCAAACATGCGCTGTTTTTATCGGCTTCGATATGCCTATCCACACTTTACCTCATCAAGTGTTCACAATCTTATGTTAGTAAAATTATCATCATGCTTGTGGGTATGATATCCTTACCCATATTTGAAACAATTTATTTATGTAGGTAGAAGAGGTCTTAAACAATGTAAGGTCATGCAAAGAGCAAAACAGTTTACCTATTTGTACTGGCAATCAGGGCTCGGCACAGGTGGCTTACAAGCAAGCTGGATATCGTTTTTGGGACGAAAAGCAAAGGGGGTTTCGTTTTTGTGAGCGAAGATATACGGAAAATTGACGACGGCGACCTTTTTTTTTAGTCGACGTTTCGTTTCTTGGGGGATTTTCGGGAATTTTTCAGGTTTTTAGAAGAAATTTGGTTCAGGGTCAAAGGGGACTTCGTAAAAATTCCCAAAAGTCAAGGGGGACTTCGTTTTTTCCATTTTCATCTAGCCACCTCGTGCCGAGCTCTGCTGGCAAATGCTCGACAACATCGTAGTCAAAACGGCACTTACCGTAAACATCTTTTTTTGCACATATGTAGTGCCGATACTAGAGCCGATATCCTATACCTGGTCGATCTAAAGTGAGAAAATCTTTGAAATTGCCCGAACTTAATATAACTCAAAGTTCTCGTCACTGCGTAATCGTGTCAAATTCACAAGTGATTTTAGACCTTACAAAAACAAAGGTGATTAGTTATACGCTATGTGCGGAGCGGGATCCAGACTCAGTGCAGCTAATTGCTGGTGCGTTCAGATGGGCGGGGTACTGACGTCTATGCCGGTGGCGATTGGCTGATTGATCAAGCTTGCCGATGCAGTCACCGCCATTGAGAACGGTCAAGGGGCGGATTCTTCCGCAGGTCACCAGTACAACAGCCCATTTTATAGGTATGCGAGTCTTTCAAAATTCCGGACAAAGTGCTCTAGCTTATTAACTATCTGAAGTTACCACCTGTTAAGTTTGAGGGCTTTTGTGATCGAAATATTCACGAAGTTCCGATTAGTTGCAATTTTGCGGGATTTTCACCTTCAACATTCATGTTTTGGATTTATTCCAAGATATATGGTTAAATAGCACTAGCAACAATCTTGCAGATTATCTGAGAGATTCAAAAATAGTCCAGAAAGTTATTAAACACTAAAAATGTGCTGATTGGGGTCCATCCGCCCATGAATATCTCGCCATTTGTCATACATCTGCACGCATTCGCATTGTCCATGGCAAGAACTACTTCTTTGACAAATCTACAAGCTTTGAAGCATAGTTTTGGATCCAAGACAACTGGGGGAACAAAAATAAAGACCTCAAGTCGAGGATCTATCTGAATAACCTTTCTAAGCAGTCAGCTTACTTCTCGTTGATTCTAGATAGTATTCTTGAACGACACCTACTTTCATGCAAGTTGAAACTTGCGCGGTACCCAAATGTCAGAAGAGAGCTTCCAGGTGCGCTAGTTGGGAACCACAATCCACCTAGGCGCCTTATCCGCGACAACTGCTCCTCTCGCACATGCTGCTGCTTACCGTGTGAAAACCAGTAGTCCTCAGAGGCGGCGCCTATTGGCGGGATGTTCCTTTCCCCTGTGAGCCTGATACAACCTTTCAAATCGCTTAGTCTGCCCAAGCTCTAGATGGAGGGAGCATTGGTTTGAAGGCAGCGGCTCGGCAGAATTTCGTTTTCTAGTTTTCCACCTTTTCGGAGCCCTCTCGCCATGAGGGACCCACACCTGGGCTTTTCAGCGCATGAAAATGGCAAAAATGCGCTTTTTCCAAGGCTTTTTGTCAGCCTTCAATGAAGAAGTGGGCGGGGCTCGTATCGAAAAAGGCGGGCCGCGGCTTTTTTTGGCGTAGCTTCACTGAATGCGGACCTAAAAAGCCTCGGAAAAAGCGCGTTTTTGCCATTTTCATGCGCTGAAAAGCCCAGATATGGGTTCCTCATGGCGAGAAGGCTCCGAAAAGGTGAAGATCTGGAAAACGAAATTCTGCCGAGCCGCTGCCTTTAAGGCGCCGCTATGACCAGGTGGAATCAAGTTTTCCCCCCGGGTCCAACCAAGTCCTACACCTTTCGCGGATGGTAAAGCGGTACCAGTGTAATCTGGAAGGATGAATGACCTGATAATCGGCCTGACGTCGTAATTGAATGTCTTTTCGATCATGAAGTAGAGTGCGTTCACCTCATGATCGCAGAGGGCATTAAAGACGCTAAATCTTTTATCCTTTATTTTTAACAACTAGCTTTAAATAAAAACTCAGTCTGATGATTTTTTCCCACTAAGCAACCTTAACAATTTTTGCTCACTCAAATAGTAGACTCCACAAGATGGTTTTTTCCCACTAAGCAGCTTTACAAACATTTGTTCAACAAATAAATTAGAATATGATACATAGATAACTTTACAGTTCAAAATCCTCTGAAGGGATTCAATCTCCAACCAAACACCTTCGCAAAAGCGATGCATGAAATGATTAATTCATCTGTTTGCATGAATTCTAGATTTCTATTGCCATTGGGTATTCTCCGGTAAGACAAGCTGTGCAATGACCAACATCGAAGATCTCTGATTTTTCAATCCCAGATTCCACGGCCTAGATATGTAGTATAAGAGTGCCAGGAAGCACTGAAATCTTACTCAAATCAACATTAACCTGCCGCAATCCTTCCACAGATAGATAACCCACGGATGTAGCTCCAAAATATTCGGTAATTTCATCTAAGTCTTTGTTACTCGCTAATAATTCATCTGCGGTGGGTATATTGATGCCCATAAAACACGGGAATTTCACTGGAGGTGATGCGATCCGCAGATGAACCTGACAGCATTCTGTTTTGAAATTGCTTATCATTATACAAATCCACTACCTCTATTGCACCAGCGTTCAACAACATTTGCACCAGCACTTGCATAGTGTTTCCTCGAACTATCGAATCGTCAACTAGTACAATTCTTCTGCCTTCCACATTTTTCTTCAGTACACCTGAAACACAATAATACGAACCTGAAGATCAATTCATGCTAGTGAAAATATGTACCAAATTTTTTGTGAATTGCAGACTGTCGCATAGCATGGCATGGTTGTATGAATGACCGTCCAACATAGCTATTTCGATGAAAGCATGGTTCATAGGGAATTCCCGACTAAAAATTTGTAGTTATTCACATACAGTTAGCCTATCCTTGTCCAGAGCAGTTTAATGGAAATGCAGATTGCAGATTCTCTAAAATAAGCACCTGGGCTTGCTATGTGGAAACCGACTGGCGAGTCTTGACTAAGCGTCGAAAACTAAACTTTAACATTCGCCCACATCGTAATCTCTTCGAATGAAGAAATCGGCATTTCCAGCCTTCTAGCCTCTCAACATGAGATGCATATAAAAGTGCTCGTTTCGAAACGTTGGTCTCAAATCCCTACACGAAATCCTTCAGTGTTACCTCCCAATGGTGATTGTGTTGTCATGAATGGGTTAAACACAAGAATAGTTTGCAGAAGAAAAAGCAAAATTAGCGGCTTAACCGAGGACTGAATCTCGGGAATTTGCTTGGCAGACCAGTCCACTCACCACTACATCAGACAACACCTTTCGCAACTTCTTCGACTTACATATTCGAGGCAATCCTCTCCTCGCGATTTTCAACCTTTTTTAAGAGAGGTTCGCAAATTTCGATCAAAAATTTGAGTTCAGCGTTGCGAATCGAGTATCTCCGTATATATTCTATATGGAAAGGGGATCACCAGAAGTACCCTTTTAGTCTTGAATAGATCATTTTAGTTCCCGCATGGGCAATGGCTTACCTAATTAAGACTCTACACTCAATTTGCACGCAAAAACTCAGCACTCAAATTTGCCTGGACGTGCTTTTGTACTACACCGCTTATAAGGTTACGTGCGCCTACTGTACATGAGGTGGTCGAGGCCAGTCTTACCTGAGATGCGTAACCGACTGCAGCTGCTGTTGATGAGTCGGGAACATTAGACACAAAATCTGCATTTATGGGTTTCTCGGTGGCCAAGATCCTGCCGCACTGTTCTCTGGATTTTGATATCAAATTCAGCTAGACCAAAGTAATGAAGTTATCGTGAAATCTACGAATTTTGTTTCACCAACCTGACACTTTGAACCTGCTGTCCTTCTAAGATTGAGTCGTTTCTGGCAAAGTAGACGTATTCAAAGATACACATAGCCTGAGGGACTTGTGGCTTCATCTAAAAGTGGGAGTAGCTATCTAACAACAAAATGGCCTTCTCCGATTTGACATTTGCGCACTTTCAACTACAATATCTCAACAAACGACTCTCCGCACCAGGCCCTCTATCATTCAGATATGGTAAATCACTAAAGCATCATGGTCAGTGTCTTGGTCTTCATTTTCACTGAGAACTAAGACACTGGCTTAAGAAATGTTGTCACCGAACAAGCGAAATCACAAGACATCATGGGCCGAGGAAGCTGATGGGGCTTTTTCAATACTACCTGCGTGAAGAAAAGAATGCTCTGACCATAAGAAATAGAGACGCCTTTGAACATAAGCTTTTTTAATGATTCAGGGAAGAAGTATGCACTTCGAAAAATCGTTCTTATATTTTTGATCTGCGTCAGCAAAGATGCTTTTCTACGCGGTTCCCCACATCTCGGGGCCTGACTATACTCTTTCCTATTATTCTCGTATAACCTTCTTTGATCCCAGCGACTCCATGACTAGGGTCGAGGCGAATTGGCACGCCGCCGTTTTGGGACGTCTCCGCGGACCACTGTTCTTTTGTGATGCTGTTCCGTCGCTTGAGGACTATTAATCCGCGCAGGCGGCCAAAATAACGGATTCCGCTTCCAGTGACAACTTCGATCATTTTTGTTATCGGTGGAGAGCGCACTTCATCTAAACTTTGCGCATTCTCTTTCGTCACAGTAACACGTTCATTACGTCGAGCGCAGCAGTTGACATATTTTGCGGTTATCACACTTCATGGATAACAGAAACCACAGAAACTGCGGAACTTACAAAACACTAAAACCGCACTCAGGCACCAGACTTATCCCTTGCCCACTTCATTCGCTTCGCTGATTGGTCATTTCATTGTTCTGACAAATCATGAAGCGGCTAAGCATTGTCTGACTCGATTCATCCGATTCACCCATTCACTAATCGTCAATTCACTTCAACAATAAAGGGTAAAGCGAACGAACCAGTTGAATCGGATAAGTCTGGCCTCTTCAAAAAAAAAAAAGTTTGGATCAGCTCTTAGAGCAAAAAAGTGAAGACTGTGCTGGGAAACTTTAGGCAAGGTGGGTAGGACTTGTAATCTTCCAAAGCTCTTCAACTAGCACAAAACCCTGCTAAGTGCCATCAGCTAACATTTCAAGCAGAACTCAAACATCGGTGTGCTGCTTTCTAGCATTCACTTAAGACGCTTACCTGAAAAACTGGACGTATTCCTTTGCGTGATATCTCGACTATTTCACCAGCTTTGATCTCGAAAGTGAGGCTTGCCGTGGCAGGAAGTGCGCATGACTCTGATGCTGCGCAATACGCTATGGGAGATGACTGCTGCTCTGGAAGGACACGTTGAACGCAAAATACTGTACGGTAGTCCCAATTTCACCAGTTGACTTGTATAATTGCACTACTTTTTGTTTTACACTAGCTTACATCCAAAAAGTAAGAGCTCTTCTACACTTCTTGCAAACTATCTTCGTGATACCCATTGTTATCAATTCTGCTGCGTCAATCACGAAATGAAACTACCTCCACAAGCACGATCTACTGCAAACTGCCAAAGTGGTGCAATTAAACAAAGCGACTGATGGAATAAGGACGACTGTGAGTGAACTCACGCGATGTATGGTGAATAGTGCCAACGCATAGAGGTCTATTCCCAAATGGATCTCTAATGGCATACAGTCGATCGTATGTCATCACTAACAGCGAGTACGACATGTTGATTGCTGACATCGTTACAGCAAGCTCCTACAAAGCGAAGGAATTTTTTCTGGGAATAGGGACATTGTTGCGAAGGTAAGGACAGGTAAGGACAAAGACTGATTAAGAGGGGTAGAGGACGACACGTCGCCGATAGGCTCCATCGGCGCGGACAGTGGACGGGATGTCGTCTTTCAAATGTCCTACCTGTTACCGTTCCAAATCTATATCATGACATCACAGACAATTGCAAATAATTTTTGGGGGAAACTGAACTTCTAAAACTTCCGGAAAGACGCTCATTGGGGCCTGCGGGTGCTCCCCGCCCTACCTGGCTCCGCCCTACCTGGCAGCTCCAATAGGAGTGTCCCCCGGGATAGAGGAACGAACCTCAGTTAGGCAGCGCCTTCGCGGGCTGCTGGTCCTTCCGTCCTACTGTTGTGCATCGTGTAGGAACAGTAGTCCGCGGAGGCGGTGCCTTATTGAGGTATTCGTTCCTCCACCATCCCCCGGATGTTTTAGAAGTTTAGTTTCCCCCGGAAGTCATTTGTGGTTGTCTGAGATGCTGCAACTTCTCTAAGGGGATAGTCTAATAAGCATCCGAATGAAAGTTTGTTGATGCAGATCGCTTCTAGTTCAGCGAATCACTTAGGATTTCGACCTTGGGCACCTGGTACAGGCGAGTCACAGTACACATTGCGTTTCAGTGGAAAAGTTTGCATTTGGAGACGCAGCAGGAGAGCAAAGTCACTATCAGAGAGACTCGACAGAATCTGTAGTGACGCCCTATCTGGATCGATGAATTGTCTATAACACTCATCGCAATCACTCACAGAAAATCCTGATCAATCCCCCAAATATTGATCCATAAGCCTTGCAAATACTGTATCTTCTACTTTCTACATAAACATATAAAAAAAAGAAGATCATTGTTTTATTTCAATGCGCAAAGTAAATATCATTAGTGGTAAACACGGCTGTACAAGCTGAATAGAGAAAAATTGTTACGTTAACTTTAGTAGCGGTCCCATTTCTGTTCGGGCGAGGGGGGAGGGGAGGAGACTATAAAAGGTTGTCTGATAAAGATGCGTGGCTATAGCCACGCACTTCGATTTTTCTTTATATGCTTCCCAATCCCAATATTTGCGAGCTCATAACCCCGAAGAAGTCTTTCACAAGGCTATTGAAGAATTTAGAAAGATTATCACAATTATTTACAGATTTAGACGAGTCATTTGTTTGTTACAAGTAACCTACAGAAAACCCGCGACCCATTCTTGAGGAGGGGAAGGGCTGTTCAAAAGTTCAGTAAGCGAACATTAATTTTGGCCGAAGGTCTCTACGTTTAGTTAGCTTTTGTATTTTTATGACATTTTCTCAACAGTCTTTGGTGCAATAAATGAAATAGCATCGAATAGAGATAGAAATAGAGATGATAATGTCCGTAACAGAACTGTACTCAGTTTATACGAAAAGCATAAAATATAATTAGAATCATTTTTGTAGACATTTGGAAGTTTTTTCTGAAATTTTTAATGCAAACTTATGCAAGGCTTTTCTTGCTGAAGCGAGCGGGTGTGATATCGCAGGAGCTGTGTCTTGACTTTCTCATTCGTTCTCACTCAATTATTAGAAAATGATGACCTAAGGCATCACCTTGGAGATATCGCCCCAATTCTCGTCGTTTCGACATTTGTAGTTCAGTGCAATAGCTTTGGCCACCATCTGAGCAATCAGTTCCGAATCAGTGTCAGTAGAGAGTCCCACGCCCTGATGCAGGACCTGTAATGCAAACTTTACCAACTGAACGCAGAATATATTAGGTTGTTACATGTTCGTCACATTTTCTTTGTTTTCCTCTGGAAAACTTTTAAAAGTCGGCAAATTCTCATATTTGGCGTATATGGGGAAGGGATAAAGGGCTATACAGTGGCACCATTTATGCTCTCTTAATCTTTTTTTCTATCTTTTTGAATTTTTTATGGACTTTTGGGAGAATTAGCAGTAACAGTAAGGCATAGTCTAAGCTCTTCAAAAGCCAAAATTGGAAAGTTGCCAAAAAATAATTCGAGAAAAATTCAAAAAATTCGAAAATGATTTTTTACGTGTGACATATATATATCGAAAATCTGCAACACTACACATAATTTGGAAATAAGGAAGAATCAACTGACAAAGTTATAAGGATTATTTCAGTCAAGTGTAACAAAATATGCAACAACTTGATAGGTTGCAAATACGTACAAATCATCTACGAAAGTGTACTTTATAGCTTAAAATCGCGTCAAGAAAGTCATTGAGAAAAAGTTTAAGTTGTTACAAACTCGCCCGTTCTCTTTTCCTTTTTGCATCCACAAGTTCGCCATTGTGAGCAATCGCAATTGTCCCGATTGCAGTATAAACCACAAAGGGTTGAACACAATTAATTGCTGGTCGTTTCTTTCCTGCTGTCGAATAACGATTATGTCCAATAATCACTCTAGACCCTGAACAGTCACAAAGATTAGTCGTATTAATAGCCAACACTTTACTGGAAATACAGCTCATGAACTACCGTTTAACTTGCGCAGGTTTTCGTCCACGAAAACATCGCGAACTAAACCATGGCCTTTGACAATCTCTAAATGTTGCCGATCGCTACCATCAGAGCCCACTAGGCCTGCAGATTCCGTTCCTCTGAATTGAAAATATGGCCTTGAACAAACAAACTCCGAACGAGGTACCTGTGCTGTAATGCTATCAGTCCATCTGCGGCAAGGATAGGAATAATGCCGTCGTCTTCGACTCCTTCAGCTTGCACCAATCCTATGATTCCGCACATTCTGAAAAAATATTGTTAAGATCAAAGCCTCTCGAGTTGTGTCTAACATTACGCCTACTAAACCATGATATTTTTTAGACTAAGAAAAACTTTTCCAAAAAGAAGTTATTGCAGGACAGTAGGATTTGGTACTGCCTCTGTGCAAAAAAATTATCTCCTCTTCTTATCATCTGACCTGGCGGCTAAGTCCTATCAAGTTGCCCTAAGCGAAGAATAGATGACCCAATCTTCAACTTTATACACGCATGATTTGCCATCGCTGCCTACCATGACATGTTCTTGAATAAAGTCTGAAAATTTATTATGTGGAAAATGAGAATCCTGAAGAGGAATTTCCCAAATATTATCCAAATTTTCGAAACTACAGTTTTCACCATGTCCAACCTTACCAACTTTTTACATTTTTATTTCAAATTTTCGGAATTGATCTAATAACAAATGGATAGAATAAACAAAGTGTAATGCAATGCATTTTTTAAAAATAAAGCTGAGTTTATATAAAGTTTAGTTTTATATATAGTTTATAAAAAAACTTCCAGAATATTTTTCACTGATGCTACCAAATTACGTAATTTGTCAACCCAAACCACAAGAACATCAATCGGCGAACTGCGGTATCACTCGATGCAGCTTTCTCTCCTCTTTATGCCAATTATTTTTTCTTTCCGATTCGCGAAGTTCGCGGGCACAAAATTATCACACTCCTTGGGTTTGAAACGCACCGCAGGCTAAACCCGTTAGATTTGATAATTGGCATTTTGGCGGTGTGTAGATTCATCATCGCCTTTTCAAAGTTTCAAATTTTGAAGATTAATTAGTATTAAGTTAGCACATAAGTTTTGCAACTTAGTCCATAATTTTTCTCTTCTTAGATGTAGGGCGTCATTTTCTTGGCATAATGTAGATTAGGTAGTGAACTACAAAGTTGTGCCAACGATTTAGTTCTGGTGGCAAAGAGGGAAAATTTTGCAATTTTCCGGAAGCTGATCAAATCAGGAATATTAGCGGGCCGAATACAAAAATCAAGTCGCTCTCAGTTTGCATCAAACGCATCGAGCAGAAACTTACATATATCGTTTCATGTAGCAAACATCTTTTGTACAGATTCCTCTTGCTACGTTTGATGCAGGCTGAGAATGGTTTCATATTTGTTTTTGGCACGGTGAAATTTCTGATTTCACCAGCTTTCGCAAAATGAGCAAAATTTTGCCAATTCGCTACCAGAAACAAAATATCTTGTGCAAATTCGTAATTCACTATCTAGTCTACATTCTACGTCGAAAAATGAGAGTGCTATATTCAAGGAAGAAGTAATGGAACAAGTTGCAAAGCATGTGCCAACCTAATATTTAAGTTCACACACGACACGTTTCGCAAAAGTGAGGACTTTTGAAAAACTATCTTAAATAGTGGAATCCAGCTATATGCCAAGAATGCTACGCATTGTACTTTGTTTCCTTTATCGAAATGTTATAGAAGCAATTCCAAAAGTCCAAGATGAAAATTCAAAAAAATGTCAAGTCGGACATAGTGAAAAGCATGGGTTCAAGACTCCAGTGATTAGTTTAATACAGGAGCGAATACTTTGGAAACATGATTGGTGAAACGTAGGAAAAGTTGCGTCAAATACTGCTTCAATCTTTGTCTATATTCATGTTTCTATAACAAGCCCAAAAAGCGGCACGAACGTCCTGATATATCGTGCTGAACGTTTTCCTTTGGCTGCGTTCGTATTTTAGATAGCAATTACTGATTGATTTCTTTTTCTCCTTTTCACCTGAAACTTCCTGCTATTACCTGTAAAGGGTTTTCGGGCAATTTTTTCAATACTATAACTTCAAGCAGGTAAATTCTTTTTGAGAGCTGCGATTTACGTTGCAAAAATCAATGTTTGTCTATGAGATATGCGTGCTTATTGGGTCCTTAGCACTTCTTGGGCCACCAGTATGCGCAGAAGGAAAAAAGGTCAATTTGGAAATAGGTCTGTTCGTGCATGATCTTCTCAGGTATGAAGCAATTACGACTGCAGATGAAATCTGTAAATCTTTCTCAAGAAGAAAAGTTGGCCTTTTACTAAGTCCTAAAAATGCCTCATTTTCAAATAAATGACAGTCTTCCCTTTTCGCATGAAACGTGCCAAATGTGATGAAAAAATGGAATAGCGATAAGTAAAAATAATGTGAGATATTCACCGTTAGAAGGATTTCCTTTCTCGTTGTATACATCAAAAAGCCTAAAGTATCCACCACAAAATAATACAACAAGCATACCGTTATATTTCAATCGAGCACAAAAAGTGAATTAGGTTGTCTGGAAAAGAGTGTAGCATCATGAGCAGTCAAGTTGTCGAGGCGGGGTAAACGCGAAAAAAAGTGGATGGTATTCGATAGAGCAAAGCAAGCACAACAAGATGAAGTCTAAAGAATCGCACCAAGATTGATCTCAAGTTTGAAGCTGAATCTCGAAGGGCTCTATAGCTGAAAAATCAAAATTTCTATCTCCCTCCAAAAAGCTAACACATACACACACTCTCTTAGACAACCTATGCAACGTTTCGTTTTTTCTTGTAATCTAGCCATGGAAAGGTCGCAAGGTGCACACATGAATGTCTAATTTGACGAGTGCATCTGTGCAAACTGGAGGCCCCTAGAGCTCTTTGGGCGGAGATACGGTTTCGGCCGAAATTTTTCATATGTTGGCTTCAAAATTCGACTGAAGTTTACTCGGAAGTTTGAACGCCAGCTTGCTTGCTCTGCTTTATCAGTTGGTAGCCCACCCACTTTCTTCTTGCTTACCCCGCGCGGTAGCATGTGACGCGACATTATTCTCCGAACAACTCAATAAAATCTTAAAAACTTCCCGAGCTTTCTTTACAACCCGATACTTCTGCCTATCGCTGCTCTGTTGCACGAATTCAAAGTTTCCCAGTTGCTTTTCGACTGATATCTAATTAGTCAGATGAAAGATTAAGTGAAGAGCTGGAAGGTTAAGAATGAACCACCGCTTACCAAATAGGTGCCTAGCATTTCTTTACGAAGTTTTTTGCCATCAAAGTGCTGATTTTTCAGCTCGCTGCCAGCACATATAGAACCCAACTTTCCTAGTCACGTATGCACTAGGCATCTCTAAAGACATTTTTTTTTGTCAAGATGCATGCACAAGGATTTCAAAAATGCACCTGCTTGATGTCTGAACTTTATAAATGTCTCTCACAGGTGTCAAATTGTATTTGAAGGCCGACCTCAACATTCACATAGCTCTTCGTTACTGTTCGATTACGAAAGCAACTTCTGGCACACTAGCTCAATGGATGGGGATGGCGAAAATCGTAGGTCGTGAATACGGCGCTGACGTCCCCGCGGGCAGTTTCGGTAACTTATTTCTTTGCTTTCATTATTTTGACTGTTCTTTTGCATGTGTTAGGTAGCTTCAGCAACTTGCAGTAAACGAGCTGCGCCCTAGAAGGACATCGTTGGTCTTCTGTGTCCTTGGACAGGCAAACGCTTTCCTCTATGATGGCCCATCGGTCGAGTCATTTGTCATATAAGCACTGTACGCCGCGCGTACCACTTCACGATATGTGTTGGAGTAGGTTGCCCATTTTACGTTTTCCTTGTTTATTATCTTTCTCGAAATTTCTTGATGCTATAACTTGCAGGTTTTATCTCTAATCGGTTTGCATCAAATTCAGCCAACAATGTAATCAAGAGACCCCACAATGGTCGGCCGCCTCAACGTGGCATGGGAGTGACACTGGGTGCCGAACTGCGATGCACAGCCGAGTGTATGCTCTGGCAGGGCCTCCCAAGCTGTGAAGGAGTTCGACGTTTCCGGATTCGGCCGGATGCCTAGCTAAAAGCCGGCCAGGCCCGATCTACCGTCGTCTGGTTTTTTGGTCGCTAGGTGGTTTCTCCCCGCTCCAAGCCCGGGGTCAGCGATCGCTCCATGGAAATCAAGAGTAGGCAGTAAGTCTGCTCTTAGAGGAAAAATTTTACTATTCGATCAGCAAAAGGAAGAGAGATAAACCCTGCACATCGGATCCCACCTACGGCGTCGGGTGGCAGCAAGAAGATGTCAGGGTAGTCAGGGCACCTTTCGGATCGGACAAAAACGACACGTTTGCCCGAACGACATGCCACGGAGACTGCCTCATGCTCTGCACCTACAACGCCAGGACAGTCTCCACAAACGCCGACCTCCACGCTCTTCTCGACGCTGCAGAGCACATTAAGTACCACGTCATAGTTCTGCAGGAAACGAAGTCCAGGAAGAAGGACGTGCGACAGATGAGTGATGGGACACTCATCATTCGTGGTGAGAAGGTAAATCACGAAAGGTTGGAGGCGTTGGTTTTGTCGTTACCCATCTATCGTTCATCTTGTCGATTCGCATGAGATCCTGGCATATCGAATAGCCATCCTACGACTACGACCTCCACGTCAGAAGACCATCAGCAACTGCTACTCTCCAACATCAGCAGCTGATAATCAGAATTGGGTGCTTTCTACGAAGATGTGGAGGAGGTCGTCCGTAACGAGAAGTCCTTCTACAAGTTCGTTGTGGGCGACCTCAACGCGAAGATCGGGATGTCGCTAGAAGAGGAATATAGGATCGGGTAGTTTGGATGTGGGCTCCGGAACGAAAACGGCAACCGTCTCGTTCAGCTTCTCTTCGCCGCACGACTTTTCCATGGAAATTCCATCTTCATGAAGAAACATCGCCGGTGGACATGGGAATCGCCCAACGGCACGACTCACGCGGAAATCAACCACATTCTCACCAATCGAAGGTGAAGCTTGCTTGATGTCTCGGTAGTTCCATCTTTCTGTAGTGGCTCCGATCACCGCCTCCTTCGAGCGAAGGTACGATTCAGTCGAAAGCTGGAAAAGAAGATCTGTCACAATACCGCAAGAAGGAAAGGAGTCGTTTATGACGGTAACAGGTTAGAAGAGCTCATATCAAGTTGTGACTGGCCAATCAAGGAAGACCCAACGTACGACCACGACCGGCTTCTGAAATGATTGCGAACTTGCGAAGAGTGCGCCTCTGTGACTTCTGAGAAGAACTTGGAACGCATTTCGAAGATCACCAAGGAATTGCTCAGAAGAAGAAGATTTCTGAAGCAGGATCCTAATGCAACCCATCTCGAGCGACTGATAGCCGACGCCGACAAAACAGCTTTGCAGGAAGATCTCAGGAAGTACAGGCAAGCCAAGATACTGGAAGAAGCCGAAGAAAAACGAAGTCTCAAAAAGTGCGAAGAGGCCTT